AAGGAAACAGATATAAAGTTTCCTAACTTTGATCTTGTGGTTTCAAACAACTTTTCCTTCAAATAAAATGCTTCTACCAACAATTTGGCATATTTAAAGTATTTTATATGGATGTTCAAAATAATCAAATGAAATAGTCTCATCTGACTTTACATATTGGATATATTCCCTAATATATTTCTGAGATTGTGGATTTTTTCTGGTAGTGACATTTACTTACAGTTTGGTTGATAAATAGGCAGAAGTGTCATCTTTACTCCTGATGATATCATTACACTTATCAAGTGTTTGGAAGACAGTAAAAGTATCCCCAATGCTGTACAGAGCAGCAAGGTTTTTAGCAAGTAATTTCCTTGTTGGTGGACCAGGAGAACTGCTAATAAGACCTGTTAGCTGTTCAACAAGCTTTTTTTGTTTTTCTTTTACATCTGTCTGTTAATGAAACAAATGCAAATCTTGTTCAGTATTTATATGAAATTAATGAAGTTCATTATAAGCTTGTTATGTCATATCAAAATTTATTTCAGATGTTTTCTGGAAGTTTATTTCTAATGTCTGAATATGAACATAAAATCGATGACCATGTATTTAGACTAGAGGATTCATTAACTAAAGCTAAAAATACTTGCTTCACTTTCAAGTTTATTTCCATAAATGTCTTTGGCGTTTTTCAAAACACTGATGCCATTCAGTTAGAAAGGAAATTGTAATGCATAATTTAAGAAGCCTTTCATTGCAAATTAATGGTTTAATTTAAACTGAAACTTGAATTATCAGGTTATGTTAAGAACTTAATATCAATCACAGCTTTCTTTCAAAGGAAAGATCATAGACCAATAATAGCTATAGCACTTAGATTTAATATACTGCTTCACAGTGCTTTATAAACCACTCTAAGTGGTTTACAGAGTCAGCAATAATCTGACCCCCAATAATCTGGGTCCTCATTTTACCAATCTCAGAAGCATGGAAGGCTGTCAACTTTAATGTTCTGACCCAGCCTTAGCAGAAAGAAGAAACAGGCTCCTTGTCACAAAAAACCCCCTCTTTATTTACCTCTTGTGAATTAATGGCATTCACCCACCAAAAAGTCCAGATAAGAGTCCTGCAAGTAGTTAAATGCAGGAACAGACCTTATCAGTTCCCTGTGATAATTGCAAGAATGTAAGCTCCTAGCCGAAAGGCTGGAAATTAAGTTCTGGCAAGCAGAACTTAAAACACAATTTTGTATGCACAAAATACAATGAGCAAAAGCTTCAGAAATACAAACTGCTGTCTCCTATGACAACCACTTCCCTTTCCTTCTATTTATTCCCCAGTGAGGGAAGAGCCATTCAGCCTCCATTTGCTTCCCGAATTGACTTCTTCTCCTCCATTGTTCTCCTCTCCTAACTGCTCTGCGCATACATGCATCTGGAACAGCTGTTCTTCTTCCTCACTCGTCTCAGCCTCCAAAGACAGCTGCCTCTCCAATGGCTGGGAAATGTCAGATGGCCCTGGCTCTATCTGTGCATCTGACACAGAGCATCCATCAGAGCCTTCTCCAGACTCCAGAACTGGCCCAAGTTCCTCCCCAACGTTATCGTCCAATATGTCTGTCTGTCTGTCTGTCTGTCTATCCATCTATCTCTATCCTTAGATATAGATATAGATGGTATAATAATCACATAACATAATCTCAGAACAGAAAATGGAGTTTCTGTGTAAGTATGCATTATCAAAATCATAAAGAACAAAACAGCCCAATAATTTTATAGGATAGACTCAAATATTTAGGCAATTCAAAATATTTCAGGCATGTCACTTTGGTCATATTACAGAAGAGTCATTAATACAGAAATAAGGGCTGAAAAAATATATTCTCAAAGATCAAGTCAAATCCTGAGATAGGTAGCGAATAAATTTAATAATAAAAATTAAAATTATACCTTGTTAGCAGCTACAAGCACCTTCTCAAGAAACCGTAGCCACTCAAAGATAAAAACTGGCCGCTTTGCTTCAGTGATTTGAGCCAAAGCCTCTTCATTTAATAACAAACTATGAGCAAGTTCCATAGCTGGTGAAATTCTTTTTGTACAGTAACTACCCTTGTTTCCTGTTATATAAATAAATAGAAAAACAAAAAACAGTAGATTTAAAATATCCCACCTAAAACAGTCTTAAAATGCATTTGAACTGGTTTAACTATTATTTTTATAGAACATCTTTTATTAATTCAGTCACCTACATATCTGCTACAAGGAACAGATTTTTAAAAATCTCCATCAAAGAGTGTGGATAAACAATGATAATGTGACTGATATGTGTGCATGCACTCATGTATGCTGGTGTACACATATATGGTAACCAAATTATTGTATACATTATTGTATAAATAATTTGGTTACCATATAAATATCATTAAATCAGTTAAAATTTTAGAAATATTTATTTCATTAAATTTTGGTACTGTTCGACTCCAAAATGATTTTGAGGATGTTTGTATGATTTACAACCAAGTGACAACTTAGTTAAGGTTTTTGTGGGTTAGATGTTGTGTGAATTCATTCCATTTAGCTCATTCACGATTCCTTGTATTGTGCAATCCTTGCCCCAAAAGGGATAATTCAATGACTGCATCAAATATGCACTATGATTGCAACTAATTGTTTGAGGCAGAAGAGCATGGACAGAAGTGTAAAATCTACTGTATTTTTCGGACTATAAGATGCACTGGAGTATAAGAAGCACCTAGATTATGAAGAGGAAAATATGGCCTCCCGAACCCCCCCCCCCAGTCCCATTTTTGCTCTCCCCAGCCCCCAGGAGTATTCTTCAGGCTCCCAAAACCTTCACGTGTCCTGTTTTTACCAAAACAGATTCATTTTTGGTGAAAACAGGCCATGGGGGGGGGCCCTCCAGGAAGCCAAAAACAGAGCCATATTTGGTCTTTAAGATGCACCAACATTTTCACCCATTTTTTTGGGGGGGGGGCATTTTATAATCCGAAAAATACAGTAATTTGAAATGTTTTCACTTAGGCCTATCTATGAATTTTAGAAATCTATAGAATTTTATTTAATTACAAAAATGCATATTGCTTAAAGATTCAGATCCTACAAATGAGTATATTCTTTAAAAATAATATACTCTCAAATATTACAATTTCAAGTGTAAACTAACAAGAAAAAAATCAATGTTAAATAAAAACAGAAAAAACAATTTTCTAACAAGGAAGTGTATTTTAAAGAAAGAACTCCTTTATTTATTTGATATAGAATATTTCTTTTAAGTTTTAATAGGCAAATGAGAATAGAGGTACTCATGGTTGAATCATAAAATATGCTTTGATTGCCAGGGTTCAGCTCCTTAATATATTATTCAGGAAAAGAATACCTTTCCTTTGAATCTATAGGGTCTGTTCAGACAACTTTTTATTTAAAACTTTGCACTGAAAACTGTAAATTCAGATATAATTATTTTATTTCATTATATTTATACTGCCCAGTCTCACCTTAGAGAGAAGATGGATGGCATAAAAATTTAATAAGTATACATACAGCCATCCATCTCACAAAATGTGACTCTGGGAAACATACAACTGAAGTCCAGATAATTTGCTTCATCCAGAGTCCTCTGAAACTGTTGCACAGTCAGCTTGTCAATACCAATGATAAAAGCCGGGATTTTCTCTGGCTTTTTATTGGCAGTAGAGGCACCTCACAAACCCAGGTTTGATGTTACATAATGTATGAAACAGTTCCCATATTGGAGTCCCTTTACCCATATAGTGGCTCAGCTGATGTGACATATTGAAACACCAAGCAGCCAGATGCCATTCTATTTAACCACAAAATAGTTTATGGTTCAGTGCATCATGCACCTCCCAGAAAAAAATGCAGCCATGATGTATATAGATGGGTAAGCATATTATGCAAACATGGCTTATTATAAAAGGGATCCCACCCTGGGCGCAATTATGTAATACAGGTATTCCTTGATTTATGACCACAATTGAGCCCAAAATTTATGTTGCTAAGTGAGAAATTGGTTAAATGAATTTTATCCCATAAAAATTATTTTTTATGACTTTTCTTGCCACATTTGTTAAATGAGTCGCTGCAATTTTCAAATTAGTAATACCGCTGTTAAGTCAATCTGGGTTCCCCACTGACTTTGTTTGTCAGAAGGTCACAAAAGGTAATCACATGACCCTGGGGACACTGCAACTTGTGGTTAATATGAACCAGCTGTTAAGCATCCGAAAGTAAATCAGGTGACCATGGGGATGCTGCAATGGTTGTAAGTGTGAAAAATGGTCATAAGTCACATTTTTCAGTGCCATTGTAACTTCGAGTGGTCCCTAAACCAACGGTTGTAAGTCGATATATTATATCCTTTGCATCCTAGGGTCACCTGCTCGTACTGGCAAAACCTGAAGGGCAGTAAAGAGACACACAGGAAAACTGCACCTCTTTTCTGCCATTTAGTGGTCTCCGGAGCTTTGCAACCCAGATCGGAGACTATCCCGTGACGACGGTCCAAAGTGTAATTACTGGAAAGGGACCTTTAAGGAGCCGCTGTCAGTTGGACAGAGCAGGTCCCGGGCCATTGTCACACCTGCCTACCATCCATCCATCCATCCATCCATCCACCCATCCATCCATCCAGAGAAAAGCCAGCCACAGGGACGACGGATGCCACCCCAGCGGGCGATGCCACAATGGGGAGTCCGAGGTGGCGCTACTCCCACCCGGAGAAGCTGCCATCGTCTTGCGCTCCCGCTTCCTTCTTGCGGTCTTTTCAGCCCTCCCACTCCTTTCCCCACCGAGCTCTTCCCCACCGAGTGCAAGCCCCGCGTCTCCCTGCCCAACCTTTCCCTACTGATCGTCCCACCTGAGGCAGCGGCGGCCACCGACTCAGCGGAGCCCCGAAGGTCGCCGAAGCTTACGCCCCGATCCGGCCCTTCCCAAAGACCAGCTGAAGCAGCGCCGGGTCCTGCGCATGCGCTCTCGAGACCCAGGAAGTGAGGCCACTACCAAGGCGCATGCGCAACGGCGCAACGATTTAGGAATTCAGGAATGAAGGATTTCGGCGCGCTGCGTTTTTGTTATCGGTAAGGAATAGTACCTAGAGGAGAAAATATTGAGTATTGCTGCCGGGGGTTGGGTAATGGTTAGATCAGTCCTAGATCACATCAGTCATACCATAGCAATCTAGATAGGTAAGTTGAATTAAGTAATCTCACCCAGTCAGCTTCCACGAATGAGTATGACCTGAATTTGGAGTTTACAGAGCAAAAGACCAACAACCTATCATTGCCCTGCTTTGGTTTTCTCTAATGAGCTAATGATGATGCTCTGGCTATATAAGAAATCGGGGTTTTGGGGAACAATCATACACAGAAATTAAATTTGGGGTTCACCTTACATCATAAGTATGGAATTTTCCTCTAGAAAGAAAAGGTGTGTTTGATGCTTTTTAAATTAATTATAAACTATTTATAGGTAGCACGGTTGGAGGTGGAAGATTGATATGAATCATGGATGACACAGAAGATGATTATATGTCTGATTCCTTCATTAATATTAAGTAAGTGGATGTTTTTGTAAGTATATCCTGCTTGCCTGTGCTAGTAAGGATGCTGAAGCTTAAATGGCTCTATGAAATTTCAAATATCCAATACCCAAATAAAAGTGGATACAATTTTGCAAGTATAGATTTTGCTTTAAAATTCTGCCCACATAGAACAGCTTTGAGGAATGTAATTTACAGAGTTAAATTAGCACTAAAATACAGGTGAGCAAGTAATTTTCTATGGCATATTTATATTTTATTGTTTTCCAAAAGAAAATGGAAGAAGGAAAAATCAGTAAAGCTATTAATCACTATTAATATAATTCATTATTCAGCATGTATGTAAACTAAATAATCCTTAAAGTATGTTAATGTATTATACAGTATGAACAAGTACAAAAATTAGAGATTTCCAAAATAAAATAGACTACATAATTGTAAATCCAGGGAAGCTCTTATATCACTGTATGAACTCTGTACTCCATTTTGAAGTCTCCAACCATTAGCTGAATACTTCAGCTTCTCCCCCCCTTTAAATGGGATATAGATGTCCAATGAAGAATGGCTAAGGTACTAAAAGGGTATTCTTCATTAATAGCCTAATGAAGAGAAGGCTTAGAAGGTGACATGATAGCCATCTTCCAATATTTGAAGAGGAACTGATCAATTTTAAAATGAATGGTCCAGAATGGAATAAGGATTCCTGCCGTGGGCGGGGGATTGAACTAAGGTCTTTTCCACCCCTATGTAATCCTAACCCTAACCCCTCCCCCCAAAAAAATTTTTTTTAAAAAATAAAATAACTATAAACATATTAAAAGCAGGATAATGATTTTTCGACAGTATCTTGTATTTAGGTAACTTTTTAAAATTTGTTTTGTTCAGCCAGGACATCAGGCCAGGAATGCCGATTTTGAGACGTGTAAAGGAAACTTTTAAAAAAGAGGAAAAAGCAAAAGAAGCTAACCAGAAAAGTAGGCAAAAGAGCATCAAAGAACAAGAAAAAGAGCAACGTGAAATGGTTTTAAATGTTGCTTTGGGGAATGAAAATAAAGGCTTTGCTATGCTCCAGAAGATGGGGTACAAAAGTGGCCAGCCTCTTGGCAAAAGTGGTGAGTTTTTCCATATCCAGTTTTTGTACTGTGACTGTGCTAAGCAATCAGGTTTTACTGCCCATAAATAGTTGTGCTGGTACAAAATCCTCTGCTGGCACAATAATGGAAAAGGGAGCCAGAGATATTTAGCAATTTATTTGTTACATTTATATTCTGCATTTCTTTAACACAACACATTTCTTCTTTCTCTTCACTCCCAATTTTACTTTGTCAACAGCTCAATGAAACTAATTAGACTACTCCAGAAGTTGCTTAGTTAACTTTTTGTCTCAGTTGGGATTTGAGCCTTGAGTTTTTGCCAACTCTAAGGCAACCTTCAGATCTCTGCCATTGTCTTTTGAACCATTGGAGAGAAAAATAGAATTCACAAAGTGACTGACTTGGGAATATTACAAAAGAATGGAATGTCTGTCTGAGTTCCTTAAGACCAGAGAACCAGTATGGTCTTGCAGGCTAACCTGCTTCAATTGAACAGATTGTTGAGCTTGTAGAAGACAAAACAGGATATAAATCTAAGAAATTAAAATATATATACATATAGGAGGGAGTACAGTAAATACTATTATTATTAATATTTTAAACTTGTATACCAGCTAGTTCTCAATGACTATGCAGTTCAGAGCAATCATACAAAAATATTACAATAAAATCAAAAAGGTAAAAAGATAAATGATAGCAAGCACAATGAAGCTTGTTATTTTGTTATTTTACTAATAGCAAATACATTTTTTCCTTCCACAGGAAAGGGGATAGTTGAGCCCATTCCTCTGAATATTACCACAGGTTTGTGAAATGTCTGACCTTTTTTCCTTCATTTAAACATGGTATTGCTCAATCCTTCAAACAACTGCTTGTATTTGGCATAGGAAGAAGTGGGCTTGGCCATGAAGAATTACAAAAACGAAAAGCTGAAGAAAAGCTGGAAAACTACAGGAAAAAAATGCATGTGAAAAAACAAGTGGAAAAGCAGACAACTGACCTCTTCAAGTAGTGTTCTCCATTTATGTTATTCCTCTCACAGTTTCTCTTAACTGTTAATACCATAATTAAGCAAGAGTTGTATTTAACCTAGGCAGCATGTATTTTGTGTGTTGAAGGTTTCTGGTGTAAATCCTGGCACTATGAGATAAAGCTGGAAAAAATATCTTGCTGGAATTTTACAGAATTCATGCTGATTGCTGTATACCTAATTCACCACTCAGCAGCTCCACCTAATGTGATAAGTGTGGAAAGAAGCTATTCCTGGAGGATCTCAGATTCTTTCCTGTCTTAAAACACAATATTAGGGATGAAGCTACTCTGTTTTAGCTCATACATTGAGTTTATTAATATCCCGAAAAGGAAAAAATGTTTTGATAAAAATACAGTCTTCTATTAAATTTACTGGTTGTGGTTTTGTCATTGTCTTATTAAGAATGAGATTGAAGACCAAGCAGGAGCAACTGCAAGTAAAACGGGACCTCGAGAAAAGTCAGAAAGCCTGCCAACAATTAGATACCCAGAAAGTAAGCTTAACTAAAATCTTTATTTATGATTTTGGCCTGTAGAGGCTTAGGAAATCAGAGTTTATGCTCTGCCTTGATCTACCTATTTTAGCCTTCCAAATAGACAGTGGAGTTCAACAAACTCAGGAAACATTTTACAACAACCTTGTATCAGTGGAGATTCATTTGGTACATCCATCAGTTGTTTTTTTTTATTTAAAAAAAGTCTTAGTTTTATATAAATGATTGGCCTGGAATCATAGGTCAACAAGCAGGAAGCTGTTCACAGGATTGCTACCAACAAGACCAACTTTTTGAAAGATATTTTTTTTTAGTACTGCAATGTCATATGTTTAAAATATCAAAACTATGATCTGTGCTATAGTGCCTTGGGCTGCATTTTTATTTCTTTTCTTTATTACTATTAATTGAGCATATATACAACCCTTTCTATAAAAATAATGAAGCAGTTTGTAGAATGAGAATCCAATTAGAAATAATACTGTACAACAGCATGCCATTCCAATATCTAGATGAAAAGCAAACATTAGGGAGTTCCATAGGAAAGACATCGTAACCCAAATACTCAAGCTCAAATTAACCACCATGCTGAAGGTATGGCTCTGCAAGCAAGATGTGTAGTCCTGGCTACTGCATATATGAAATAATTTTCCAGAAAATATTTGGGTGTCAAGTAATCTCTTTGAAGTATAAGTAGTAACTGGCAGCTTGTATAGATTGAAGAAACTGAATGCAACGTGACTCCAGCCTTACACATTACTTATGGAGAAATGACAACTTGCAGCAACTGAAGGTTGTAGAACAGCCTTCATTGGAATTGCAGGTAGTCCTCAACTTGCCATCTTAATTGGGATTGGAACTTTTGTAGGTAAGCGAGGTGGTCTTTAAATGAGATACACCTGATTTTATGACTTTTTTTTGCCATGGCCATTAAGTGAATCACACAGTCCTTAAGCAAATCCAATTTCCCCCATTGACTTGGCTTGTCAGAAGCCAGCTGGAAAGGTTGCAAATGGCATTTCAATGAGCTGAGGACATTGCAACTGTTGTAAATACCTGCAGATTTCCCAGAAATTGAATTTTGATCAAATGACCACGGAGATGCTGCAACAGTTATAAATGTAAGTCATTTTCTTCAGTGCCAAACTGAATAATTACTAAATAAATGACTGTATAGTAATCTAAAATTGAAATTGAGATATGAAGATGTAAGGTTAGGTTTGCCCCAGATCTCTGAATTACTTTATCCAGCAGTTTCATATATATGTGAAAAAGCATTGTGGATGGAATTCTACATCCCCTACAGTTTAAACACTGCAGGGCTAAGTAGACCTGCCACAGTAATACTATGAAACCAGAACTCACTCATCACCAAAAAAAATCCATTTTAAAAGGATAATCTGATTGATAATATAAAATAAGTCACAAGGTCTAAGAAATCAAGAGCTTTATTAATATGCAGTGTCTCCTAAAATTAGCTTTGTGTTTAATATATTTTTTGCCACTTGGGCAAAGGTTACAACAGCTAAAAAATCTAATAGTGTAGAGTATGACTTGTTGCCATGTTTTTATTCAAGGGCCTTGAAGTCCCCAAAGAGGTTTGGTACTGGTTAAATTTAAAGACTGAAGAAGACAAAGATGAAGAAGAGGAGGAGGAGGAGGAGGAGGAGGAAGATGGACTCAATGTAAGTACATGTTCAGATATTGCTTTAGCAATTGTTTTGGGTGGACTGGCTGGTAATTTTTTATATTATGATGCTCCATAGTGATCCCAAACTAGGTGAAACATAAATTTAAATATTTACTGCCGGTAAATATAAATATTGAACAAAATGAATGCATTTTCATCACTCTTGATCGATTTTGGTTTAGCTTGAGTGCATCCATGTATGCACAATATACATTGATTGATCTATGATGTGCCATGAAGCACGTTTCTGCTCTTAGAGACCATATAGATATATTTTCTATAATGGTCTGACCCTGGAGTCAACCTGAAGTTCTCCAGCTAGACAAACATTGGGGATGTGAGTTCTGAAGAGTCTCACGTGAACCCTGTCTGACAAACTGTCTCTGAGATCTGTTTTTGGATCAGAATCCCCCTGTGGGGGAGTATAAAGAAGGGGCAGTGTCTCATCAGACCCAGAGGAAGTGCAAGAGGCCCCTTGTAGGTCAGAGATTTGTCCTCTGAATCAGAGCTGGTGTGTCAGCAGGCCAAAGCAGCTAAACAGGAGCGTGTAGAGACAAGATGAAAGCCTGTTAAGATCTATTAACCCACAGTTATAAATCAGAATTTGGAAAAGGCAAAGAACCTTGATAGCATAAATAATATTGATGGACAGATCGGGATTTTTGTGAAAAGGAAGAAGGGGAAAAATGGAGGGTTCAATCACTGGCCCCAAAGAGAGCCATTTGCTTGAAATAATTTGGACAGACAGGAGAAAGAAGAGAAGTGACAAACCCACTTAAACACAAACTCTGAATTTGGTTTTGGACTTGAAACAATTGTGTTTTTAAAGGATTCTAGGAGCGTGAAACTAACATATCTTAAGCAACTCCAATTAATGAGAGCTGGAATGCAACAAGGGAGAAAGATCAAGAAAAAAGCACCATCTCCTTATTGACAACTGATAACCTAATCTTGCCTGTGTGGGAAATTTTAATTAAACAACTGCCATAAATCAGAACTTGGAAAAGCAGAAAGGAAGAGAAACATACTCAAATTTGGCTGTATATGCAAGTTTGTTCCAATTAATATATTTTGAGCAATTATAACCAATGAGAAGCGGAAAGTATCAAAGAAAAAATAATAGCAAAATCAAGAACTGGGGAAATATGAAGTCTTTTGTTTCTTTTTTGTCTGCAAAAGATCAAGATGGCTCCAGCTTCTCTTCCGTTTTCACAGTAGTTGAATTAACTAAATTTAAGGTGGACCAGAATCTCAAAATAAGATTGGTATAATTAACTGCAATTTTGGAACTGGACATTAAGAAAGAACAAAAGACCAAGATGGCTCCCGTCACTCTTCCCCACAGCAGCTGAAGTAGATAAATTTAGGGTGGACCAGAACTCTGAAATAAGAATTGTATAACTAACTGTAACTTTGGAACTGGACATTATGGAAAGGTAGGAATTTGAAGAACTACATGAAATTATAAAAAATATGAATAAATCATTAAAATCAAGCCTAAATATAATTCTGAATTCAGAGAAGCAGGTATTTAAAGAAGAAGAGAAGGAAGTAGGGGGGAGAGACAATGAAGGGGAAGAAACGGTGGGAAATAAAAAGCAGACAAAAAACTTCATAGGGCTTGGCAGTGGTATAGGGAAAATTGTAAAGATCTGTCCCAACAAAAGGGAATAAAAAGCAGACAAAAGATGTTTTGGAGGTTGACAGTGGCATATGGAAAATTGAAATAGTCACGCCCCAACAAAAGGAAATAAAAAAAATCTTTTTGACAGAGGCTTGGGGAAAATTGAAGAAGGTACACATGTCAAAGCAAAGAAAAGGGAGAAGGCAGGAATAGAGAGTGGGACAAAAGACTTACTAGGAAAAAATCAGACGAGAAATTGTTATATGAGAAAATATAAAGCTAAGATAAGGCAATAAAATGGAGTTGCTAACTGACTGAATATGATAATGGACAGATGATTAAATAAAGGTTAAAACATATGGAATATGGACAAATATTTTCCACATTCCTGAAACTGATATATGGAGATTGTAAAGCAGAGGTTTGTGATTCACTTTTATACATTATAATTAAACTGAGTTGCTAATTGATTGAATATGACAAAAGAAGGACAATTAAGCATAGGTTAAAATATATGAAACATGGACATATATAGAACTTTTAAGATGATGAACAAAGTGAGATNTCTGCTTTTCCTAGTTCAGATACAAAATCAAGTCACACAGAAATTTCCCTGTAACCCTACTTTTTATCTTTGTAAGTGATGTCCCTCATAAACAAAGCACAAGAAATAAAAATAAAATATGTCTGTTACCATTTTGAAAATTTATTGGTGGCATATGCAGTTTTTCACTATCTGTAGACAGACAGGTGATGATTTAGAAACCTAAGTATTTTCAAAGCACAGCAAAATGATATAGGACTAATATCTATCCTTATTGTACAATGATTTTCAATAAAATATTAACTCAGTCTTCTACGCATAAAATCTGAAAGTCTCTTGAATAAATGATTTGAGAGACTTACTTATTCAAAATGCATGCTATATAAGTCATTAAGATTCCACCAAAATTGTTTCAAAACCTATTAGAACTTCTCTGTTCAGGAGCAGTCCTGCATGTGTGATGAAGCTCAAGTATGGCATATACATTGCAATCCCAGCACCTGACTACCAGCTTGCACTTATAAAAAATAAAAGGAAGCAAAACATAACTTACCCAGAAAGTCGGATGCGTTTGATTGCACATAATCTATTATCAATGGTATTCTTTCCCTTGAAAACATTTCCAAAACCACCAGAACCAATTTTCTCTATATCATCAAAGTCTTTAAGAAATCTGTTTTAAAAACAATTAAAATCTTAGAATGCCATATAGCAAAATGTTTGAAAATACTTATACCAAAAGCATTAACATATAAACATTTTTATAATATAAATATATGCAATCCTTTTCTCATATAATATTCATATATCCCTGCCTTTCCGTCTTAAAAGTGCATAACAATATGACTATTCCAGAATTCAATTTTGAGAAATGTATTAAAAAAAGAGTACAAATAACTATGCAATGGGAAAGGAGCTCTTGCAAAGCATAATGGGTTGAAGCATTAAAACATCAATACCCTCTGGAAGGCTCATCATGACCATTTCAAAGGGTTTCTCCATGCAGGGGCCTAGACAAAGAACACCTCTGGTGGATTTGTATGCAAAAAGCCTGTGCCTAAACAGGCATGCAATGACAATGATGACAACAACAAAACTCTTTCAAATTGCCATGGCTTTGGTTATATCCGTGATGGCGAACCTATGGCATATGTGCCAGAGGTGGCATGCAGAGTCCTCTCTGTGGGCACGTGCACCATTGTCAGCTGCTCTTCTGGTTTCTAGTGCGCACATGTGGGCCGGCCAACTGGTCCAGTGAGCACTGGAGCACCTGAAAACGGCCCAAAATCAACCTAAAATGGCCAAAACACATGCGCATGCGTGCGCCAGTCAGCTGATCTTTGGGTGTCCAGTGCTCTGGCATGCACGCATGCATTCACATTCTGGCTTGAGTACTCAGTGCCGAAAAGGTTCACCATCACTGGGCTTTATCATTTTAGAACAATGTCAGCATTTTAAAAAATATGCAAATGAAATTACTTGCATCTTCTGGATACTTTTCACAGGGAATCTAATCTATTAGTATTGTGGTAGTTCCGTCTGCACTTAAGTAACACAATAAGCCTACATTCAGGATTTAGTGGCGCCTACTCCTAAAGATGTAAGTATAGGATAATCACCCAATGCACAATGATGGATAGTTTCCTGAATTGATACAGCTATGGAAGTAGCCTAACCAGATTAAATTTATGTTGTCCACTAACATTGCTTTATTGTCAAAATGTATTCCAAATCAAACAGCAGCTCTGAATTTATCTTAAGAATTAAGGGAAACAGAAAGTCTATTTGATGTAGAATATCAAATGGAGGATGCTGAACAGTTCATTATCAAAAAGTATTTGTCTGGATGAGATTCTGATGAGCAGATATTTTATTGTGTAACAGAGTATCTAGAGGATCTGCTGTTGTTGACCAGGTACCTCACATTTGCGAGGTCCTTGGTGCTATTTGAGCTTGGCTGTTTTCCTACAGATGTTTCATTACCAAACTAGGTAACATCATCAGTGCCAGCAGGGAATGCGGTTTGCCCTCATTTTATATTTCTGTGGCTTGCCCTGTCAATGCTGGTGGGAGTAAACTTGGTGGTTCCTTCATTGGGCTGTTGTTTACTGTTTCTCTGGCTGACCTACAAATATTCCTTTCTGTCAGTACCTCACATCTTCTCATCGTTTTATATTTTGCCTGATCATTTTCATAATGGAAGTTGGAAATTGTGTGCTTGCATGCATATAATGAACTCAAGCAATTATATTCCAATAAAGAAAAATCTTGATTTGATAGAAGTCCCTTTCTCAAATTTCTGACTATAAAAAGATTTCAGATTTGATGGGTATGTAGCATCCAAACTGTGGTAGCATAGGTCTTTGGATGATCACCTCTATCAAGCATGCATTACCATAGACTAGTATGAGGGTGTCTTGCAAACGAAAGATTTATGAAAGGAACAGCAGTCCTCTAACATCACTGTCCAAGACTACAGTGGAACCTCAGATCACAAACACTTCTGACCACAACCAAATCGGATGCCGACCTGAAAATCCACTAAATGTTTCACTCTGTTCATAAACGCATCCTCAGGTGGCGATCAATCACAGCCGCAGCAATGTTCCCTGCCAGTGATTTCCCCTTCCGCACGTGTGTGTGTGTGTGTGTGTGCATGTGCATGCACACATGCATAGTGAGTCTTGCCTCCAGTCAAAACCAAATCGGGTGCTGACCAAAGTCCTGGAATGAATTACGGTCATGACCAGAGGTTCCACTGTACCTGAGAATCAGTAGGTATGTAAAGCAATCCCACCATAGGAAAATAATCCAGGATACCATAGTTAGTTGTATTAAATCTTCTGGCAATTCTAAAAGAACAAATAACCAACCTCTTTATTTTCCAAATACCTCAAAAACTAAAATAGTTTACTCATTCCAAATAAGTCAAGAAGCCAAATTAAAAAGATTTCTTGTGATCAGTATCCCCAACAGTATTCTAACAAAACATGCAGGAAAAGGATAAGCAAATGTTTTAGGTAAGGACTCAAGAAAGGAAAGGGCAAATTTATTTTTTAAAAATCAGACAAAAACTATTTTGTGCCGTACAAAGCAAGAGATAGTTTATCACTAATTTTCTTACCACCTGGATCCAGTTCCTCTTATTCAGCTACTGTGGCTATTTGATAAATAGCTTTTCAAAGAAACCTGAATCAGATATCAATCTATATCCAATTATTATATTTCCTATTAACCCCACATCATATTAGAAAGATAATTCTTATTCCAAGAATTGAAGTAGCTTGTTACCTTTCATTTTTGGTGAATTTACTTGTTCTTGTACACAGCTTTGAAAATCTTGCAGCCAAGGGTGTTTCTTTTCTTAGAAAAATATTGAAATGAAATACATTGACATACATAAATGGTACACACAATTGTATATAAATACTATTGATTTAATACATTTATTGTACAGCTAATAATTCCATTTCAAAAGACGGCA